TAAACACGAAGAACTATTTCTTATAGCTAGCGTGTTTTCCAAGGCCAAGCTACATACACTTTTAAAGGGTTATATTGTCCTGCTTACAGTTATTACAATTGCTAGTACTTCTGGTCACAGCAGAATTGTTTAACTGTGTTTGAGTTTTATCTGAACAATACATCTTTTTTGTGTGTATCCCCCACAGTTAAGTATGGTACCAAGGTTTCCATAATGTTCTTTTGGACAGGCATCAAAAAGAAGTGTGAGAAGCACGTTCCCATTTAAGAGTTTTAAAGGTTACATATGTTTCATCAAACTTATCATCTTTAGGCTTGCAAATTCTTAATTCAAAACCAAAATATCCCATAACCACCTGACACAATAAAGAAGTTCATAGTATCTTGATTGTAGTTCTCATTCTTTAGCTTTGTGTTGACTCTCCTCGACCTTCAAAGTGGCAGGAGCAGGGCCCTGAGAGCACTGTCTTCTGGAGTCAAACTCTGTGGAGTTCTCTGGATAAGCTTGCTTTGCTCTAGAGTGCCGAATCCACAGTTGAACTTCAGCCACCTTGACAGCTGTGGGAGTAACCGTAAGTGCCTCATATGGTCCTTCCCATATAGGTTGCAAAGAGGTCTTTTTTAAGTTTTTAGAAGACACTGTTTTTTGTTTTGGTACCGGGGATCAAACTTGGACCTTACACTTGCGAAAAAGGTGGTGGTACCACTAAGCTAAATCCCCAGCCCCCTTTTTAAACATTTTAACATAAACTCAGTCTCCCGGCTTTATGAAATGGGCAGGGTTTAGCACATCAAGATCCTCTTTATCTCTAATATGTCCCTGGATACTCTGGAACACTTTTCCCAATTCTAACAGCTATAATTCCATACTGGATGAACCTGACTGAGATAAATTTCCTGTAAAGTCTCTTAAGATACACAGTGGCCTTCCAAACAAGACCTTATATGGGGAGAATCCAATATAACTGGAGATGTTTCTTATTTTCAGGAGGGCTAAAGGGAGCAAATTGACCCATGGTCCTGGCACTGTCTGACAATATTTAGTTAATACACTCTTAATAGTATGATTATTCTTTCTACTATGTTGGAGCTCTGGGCCCGATAAGCAGAGTTTAATATGTAAAAGTTTAGCTAGATTTTGTACAATCTCTGCCACAAATGCTGGCCCATTGTCACTGCCTATAGAGAGAGGCAGACCAAACCTTGGAATTATCTCTTTCAATAAAAACCTTACATACCTCTGTGTTCTTATAGCGAAGGCCTCAGGCCATCTAGAGTAAGTACAAACATATACCAACAAATATTTATAACCTTTGCAAGGGGAAATTTCTGTAAAGTCTATTTGTATGTTCTCAAAGGGGGTTGTGCCCTTCCATTGTATTCCAGGTGGTGCTGTAGGCTCTGAAATTGGGTTTATTTTTTGACAAATTTGACATCTTTTTGCTCACATAAAGCAGAAATCCGAGGTATGAAGAAATATTTTTCTAACAGTGTTTGGAGATCTTTCTTCCATGAGTCAATCATGATATCCTTTAATCCAATAGTAAGATAGAGTCTCTTGTATTATTATTCTGTTGTCTGGTAGAATCCAAACAAGTCCTTGCCTTTCAGCCAATTGTTTTTTAGCCCATTCGTCCTCTTTATCTGAGTATTTTATAGCAGCTAGGGGCTTTTCTATCTCCATTTTCCTCTTTTGTGCACAGGTGAGCATGGCCATCTGAAGCCTCTGTTTAGCTGCCTTTTGGCTTCTATGTCTACCTTAGCATTGCCTTTTGCTATTACTGTATTATTTCCTGTTTATTCTTAATCTGTTTATCCTCTGCTGTGAGACCCACTCTCTTTATATACTATGCCATGAATATATAGGGTAGCAAAGGCCTAACAGGAGTCTATATAGATATTTACCCTTTTTCCCTTTGCCCACTGGAGAGCCTGTATGAGTGCCCAAAGCTCTGCTTGCTGAGCTGACCATCCAGTGGGGAGGGGTCCTGCTTGGACCATTTCGTCCGGAGTTGTTACTGTATAGCTAGCATAGCATACCCCATTTTTTGTGAGACTGTTCCCATCCACGAACAGGATGAAATCAACATCAGGCAGTGGGAATTCTGCAAATCTGGATGACTCAAGAACAGCTGTCTATCCTGATGAATTGATCTTTGACATATTTGATACTCTCTTAAGGAGAGAATAATTCAACATCTAGAATATTCTTCTATTTTTCAGTCATGGCTAACTGCCATTCCTGAGTTTGATCCTGGTTTAACCTTGACTTCTATTCAGACCTCATGCATGTCCTAGACAATTAAATTTCAGGAATTGTACCAGTGGCCACTGCCATGATTAAGACCTTGAAATAATGATGCTGATAATAATAGTTAATATGTGTCTAATACCTATAATATGCAGGCCTTGTTTTAAAGTGTTTTGCACATAATTGCACCAATCCTATCAGGTACACTCAAGTGCACAGCCCTGTTTTACAGCTGGGTAAGTAAATGAGACTTGGACAGTTGCAGTAACTCCTTGAGATCCCCACTGTGAAGTACTAGCACCAGCCTTGAGCACAAGCAGTTAGGTTCTAACTCCCATGGCTTCTTTGGGCAAATAAGTTACAGTGCATCTGTTTTGTGCAAGACACTATTCTAGGTACTCAAAACACATCAGGGAGCAAACCCTACACAATTCTCATAGAGTGCATATGTTAGTCAGGGGAAACAGACAAAAAAAATAAACAGGTCAGATGGCATGTTATGAAATGATAGCTATGATGGTAAAAAATGAAAAGTAGAGTAGAACAAGGGAAGCACAGTGTCCAGGGTGAAGTTAGTTAATTTTAAATTTAGTTTAATTTTAAATTTAGTTACAATTTCAGGGTAGATTTCCTTGAGAAGATAACATACCTTTCTCTTTCTAATTTTCAGTTATAAATTTTCTTTTGATTTTTTTGAGATAGGATCTTGTTACATCATACATAGCCCAGGCTGGCCGCAAACTCGAAGCGATCCTCTTGTCTCAGCCTCCTGAGTGCTGGGATTACAGGCGTGCATGCACCACCATATGTGGTTTGTTATAATTTTTATAATAATTTTTAAATGTTTCAATTTAAAAGTAATTTAAACTGAAAAGTGAAGAGAATAAAAAAATCCACGTTCCCGCCATCCACAATTCAAAAGATTTACCAACACTGTGACCTATCAGTTCAGAATATTCTAAAGAACTAAAGAACTGCAGAAGCCATAAGGCTACAGCCCTGCTGATCCCATTCTTCTCTAATTTAATAACCAAATTCGCCGAAGTTGGTATGTATTCTACCTATCCATATATTTACACCTTTACTACATATGTACATATTGAGAAAAACTTGTGAAGTAGTTTGGTATTTTTAAAAGTTTGTGTAAATATCATTTCTGTCGTTTTTCTCCTTTCACCTTCATATTCTTGGAAACTCCATGTATATTTATGTAACACACATATATATATATATATGTGTATGTTTATATATATGTATGCATATATATAAAATGTTTCGTTTAAAGTTTCTCTTTACCGTTCCCACTGAATGAACCCAGTGCCTCAGAATGCTGCTAAGCACCACCTGCCACTGAGCTACATACACTGTCAGCCCCCCAGTGAAACCCACACTCTTAACTTCTAAGGATCCTATACACATTCTTTAATTTTTACATTAAATCTTAGAATAAAAAACTTACAGAACTTGAAGGAAGCTTAAAGATGATGGGGACCACGACAAGAGGGAGGTTGCACCCTTCCAAAGACACGAGGCCAACTGCAGAAAAGACGGAATCAGGACCCGGTAGCCTGATACCCAGGAGAGCGCACACTGAACTCGCCGCACTGAGCTTTATGTCTCTCGATACAACTTCTGCAGATTTCTGAGGCGCCCGTGATAAGCAAAAACGGTGCAGACCGACCCTGCTCCCGCAGCGCTTCGCACCGCGGTGCCGGGCAAGCTCTCGCCCACGTAGGACGGTCCTGCCCGCTGGAATAGAGGCCTCAGCGACCGCACTCTGGGAGTCGGGCGGGGAAGGACGCGGACCCCGCTCCACACCCTCGGGACAAAGCTAAGGTGGGTTCCCGGGATCGCCCCGGACATCGCTACTCCGCCATAACCGTCCGTCCCGTCTCTGGGCTGTAACTCAGCCTCTTCCTCCAGGCGCCTCGGTCCCATTTTCTTCTCCCTCCTTCTAAGTTTCTGAAGACCTCAGGGGTACTGGGTTTCCCTGTTCCCTCAAGCGTCCTCTCTCCGGCCTTTCGGAAGGAGTCTGCACTGTCTGGGCCCGCGGCTTGCAGCGCGTCGGGCGCACACTCAAGGCGGGAGGCGGAGGACTGTGCACGCCGGCCCCGCCCAGCC